AAGGGACACATATAATAAGATTTTTTCTTCTTTCTGCTGCCTTTCATTTTATTATTGATCTGTATTTTGTTGCCACTTAATATATTTCTGTGAGAACACAAGCAGCATTAGGTCACAATGAGAAAGTTTTATATCTGTCTCAACTGGACTCCAGCTCAACGAGTTCCYGTTTGTGACTCGCATCAGGTAATAACGCTCAAGTAGTAGCAGCTCTTCTTAAACCTGTAAGAATATACTTTAAATAATAGACTAGATTTGATGTAATAAGCCCCTAAGCAATGTACATGCCATAACTGTTTTAACTGCTCATTAAATATATTATTCATGCTAAAATGTAGCATTTCTTTTGAATAAATGTGATAGTGTATAGTTCACTGCATTACTAATTTTATGTCTCATTTCATTAGGTTCTATGGAATCAAATATAAATTGCTCTGCTTAACTTCGGCACTTTGTTTAAAAACAAAAACAAAAAAAAAAAACTGAAAAGTTCTCAGTAAACAAAGCAGTTGCAGATTTAAGGGCACGCATACTTCCACACAATGGCTCGACAAAAAAAGATGCAGAGTCCTAACCGGTGGCCTCTGAACCCTGTTTTCTTGGTTGGAGAACCAACATGTCCTGAAGGCAAACATGGAATTCTGCAGATCATGGCTCTATGGATGACATGGCCAGAGGAAGCTTAGGCAGAGAGAGAAAAGAAAGAGAGGTAGTCGTTGTTTCTCCACTCTTCTTCACACCTGCCTCCTCCTCTCTTGATTTTGACAATGTTTCATGTGGAGTCTGATCCAACTGCTTCCCCACCCGTTCCTGAAGATACCGAGCTTCTGTGAGCTCATTTCCAAACGTGTGCCGTCATGTGTGCTGAACCTGGAGCTGCGGGACTGCCGGTGCTGCTGCCATATCCCGTCGTGCCGCTGGTGTTGTAGAGATTCGCACCAGCCATGTGTTGAGTCATCTGGAAAGAAACCAAACGCACTTTTTGTTAGCGGCGGCACAGTCACGGTGTTCAAAACGGACCCGATCCAGAGTTAATACACACACCTGGCTGATGTTCCACTGAAGCTGCTGCTGGCTTTGCTGYGCTCCATAAACTTGTTGATGAGGTCCCGTAGCCAAGCCTCCCATCTGCTGCTGTCCCATCATGCCACTCTGCTGCTGTCCCATTATTCCATTCTGCTGCTGTCCCATTATTCCATTCTGCTGCTGTCCCATCAAGCCCTGGCTCATCCCCGTCATGTAGGGCGGTGCCACGACGCTGCCAGGCTGTGCCATGTGAGCACCCATTAGGCCATTCTGCTGTCCCATCAAGCAGTTCTGTTGGACTCCAATCATGTTGTTTTGCTGAACCCCCATCATGCCACTCTGCTGTTGTCCCATCATGGCCACTTGCGATGGCATCATGGCTCCTCCCATCCCACCCACCTGGGCTAAAGAATGGTACGGACCATACGGATGCGTCGGGTATCCCACTCGGTTCATGTACAGACCTGCTGAAAATAATTATAAATATGTTCAAAGAATATAATATAATTATCCTGAGAGAAATCTGTGCAGATCTCACCATGTGCCGCCATGCTGCTGGCGTGCACTGAGGGGGTGGAGGCGTACAGAGACAAAATAGAATTCTTGGACAGCTTCTTGACAGCGCCTTCCTCCGACTTGGGTTTCGGATCCAGAAACAAACTGAGGTTTTCAGGCACTGAGGCAGTCACTCTGCTCTGAGGCAAGGAGCTGGAAACAGGCTGGAGGAGGGAAAACAGACGGCACAGATGGCAACAAAAACAAACCGAAAAGGTCAAGGGAATGCGATCTTAAAACAAACTCAACGAGATCATTCGTATTTCCTGCAAAAATGCAGTGTGAATGCTTAACGCTGAAAGACTTTTTTACTGAAAATGTTTAATAACAAAATGAAATGCAAGTTAAATTCGAACCGCTCATGTTTGCTGAAAGTAGAACAAAAGCAAAAAATCAGCCAAAAAAAAAGGGTACTTCAAAAAAGATGCAATTTAAAATGTAAAATAGCTAAAGCAGCTAAAATTTGTAGAAAAGTAGCAAAAAAATAGCTGAAAAAGCTGAAATTAGTTGAAAATAGTGAAAAAGTTGCTAAAAAACAGAAAATGGCTAAAATTAGCTGAAAGCAGCTGAAAGAGGCATAAAAAGCTTAAAATGGCTGAAAGAAGCCCAAAAAGCTGAAATTAACAGAAGAGTAGCTAAAAGGTACGGGTGTAAATCACTAGMTTGATCACAATACATTATATTGATTTCTTTGAATGACAATGCAATTCTCAATATCACAAATTTGAAATTAGCACAAAGTTAAAAAAGCAGAACCGGAGGAAAAGGTAAAAAGGTACAGTAAAGATGTAAAAGGATTTTGAAGGGTTTTAAGGATGCTGAAAACAGCTCTATTCGTTTTYTATRAGRAAAAAAATGGTCAYWTAAAGCTAAATATTTCAAAAAGTATAAACAGCTGAAGTACCAAAAGCCAGAATGTCCTGAAGGAGCTGAACATTTTTTTATGTACAAATTGTGCAAATAGCACAAAAATTGTGGAACGGGATACATGCCAAAAAATGTATGGAAAAAAATGTATCATCTCAATCAGCATTCACATTATAAAAACAGCTTTATCCTAAACTTCACTACAATTCTACATAAAAAGGTCATATCATAGACATGCAGCAGAAGTAGATATAAAGAACCCACTATTACTACTTCTGTCTACTACCGTGGTTTTAGTAGAAGAAGCTGGGGATGGGGCTGGGAAGGAGGCAAAGAGATCCAGGGCAGGGTGTGTGTGAGCTGGATTAGACACCACGGGGCTTTCATTGCTGTCTGGAACACATCCTCCACCATTAGACACCGCAGGACTCTGAGCAGGAGGATCTAATGGAAGGTAGATGGAACAACAGCCATAGTTAAAACTGTTCCATTTATCAAACCTCCATTTTCAAACCCATTAATCAAATTAAACCTCACATTTTATATCTTAATGTAGAGGCAATATATGTACTGTGGCTTTCTTACCAAAGAAATAACTCAGAATAGTCATTACACAGATAAAAGAAGTGCATGTAAGGAAGTTTATAATACCCAGTCCAAGCAGATCTGTAACAGCTTGAGAGTCTGTCYTCGGACTGACGTCTTTTTTCTGAGAAAAATCAATAGAATTAATGCAGCAAATCTGCCCTGACAAAAAGATGTGAATGCAATGACTTTTAAACACGACAATGTCAATCTGCCAAGTTATTGTTACTAATAAAATTAGGCCCCGTTTACACAATGCCAGTTTTGGGTGAAACTGCAAGTTCTTTGCTGCGGTTCGGCAATTTTAAAGGAATAGTCCYATTTGGCAACCCTGCCTGGTACATCACTGCAGTGGTTCTATATAAACAAATGATTTTTCTGTGTATTCACCCCAGTAAACATTAGCATTTCTAGAGACCAGCCTCATGTAAACAGGGTCTAAGATAGAACGCTGAACAATGCACCTACCAATTTCATTTTTTCAAACACAACTGGTTCCTTGGGGATGTTGTCACAACTCTTTTCTTTCTGGAAAGACAAAGCAAATAGACTAACGTTCTTGAGGTTAAATGATGACGTTCAAGGCTGCATAAAACATTTATTGTCCAAGAGTTTTATTTGGATGATTCTTCTTGAAACAAAGACCCAACCTTTATGTTTAACCTGTGTATACAAACTCACCCTAAGCATCTGGATGTCGATGACCTTATCTATATATTTCTTCTTTTCGTACTTGTCCCTGATAAAGATCTCTGCGGCGTGGTCGGTCTCAGGGCGCTGGAAGCACTTGGGTAAAAAAGCCTCATAGAGACGCTTGGCTTTGGCGTTTCCCATTTCTTGAACGCACTAAGGTCACCAAAAGCAACACAAATTTACATTATTCAAGAGTATTAATGAAAAAATTAGCTTATTTATAAATATGACCCTAATGCTGTCTTTTCATAACAACAGTAATGCTTTATTTGACACTCAAGAATGATGTTTGTGTTAGAAATCAATAAAGGCTTTGGGATTAACAGTACTGACCTGAACCTGCTCCTGTGTCCACTGATCCAGGTTGACGGACTTGACCTTTGAGATGTGGACCCCTAGATTTCGATGAATACCAGCGCAGCGGATACAAATGAAGATGCCCAAATTCCAGGAAGCCCATCTTGGACCTGGGAGAAACAGATGCTGGAAGTTTATGACAAATAAAAGGGAGTAGTTCTTCTAACCGTAGCTAATAGGTGGATTACGTGGGCGAAAAAAACAAGGAGATGAGATTAGAAAAAAAAAATCATCATCTAGTGCAATAATAGAGGCAAGTCTGAGACCTCAATTATGAGTTTGAATCCAGCAGGGAACACATCTATTCTTGTGTAAATCATGACACATAATAGGATCTAATACAAGCGTTAGCCTACAAAGCTGAGACTGAAGGACAAAAACAATCACAGGTCTGGTTTGTATATCCCCGTGGGGACCGTGCATTGGCTTCCATTCATTTTTTTGAAATTTTATAGCCTAACCCTGACCATTTACCCTAAAATTAACCTCACTGACCCTAAAACAAACCTAAACTCAATTCACACCTTTGTCCTAACCCCAACCCCTCACCCGTTATTTACATTTGGACCCGTGGAGACCAGGCA